GACCACAACCGCTTCTCTTTCTTCAGCTTCCTTGGCGGCCCCCCTCTAGCACGGCCTCAGTGGCCCTGTCAAGATCCTCATCTAAGTTCTCTTCCTGCTCCAAGTTCTCTTGGAAGAGCTCAGATCACCTGGAGGGATTGTAGGGTTGGAAAAGTTGGAAAAACTTGTTGTACCCTGGTTTGTAGTCCAGAAGTACGTGTGTTGATCGACGAAACTCATCTCCAATATATCCCTAAACGGTGACAAGATCGTCAAAATGGACCAAGTGACGAGGTGGGGGAACAACTTCACGAGAGGAAACGTCTGCACAAAAGAAAGAAAAACATCAAGACTCGTATAAATTAATATCAGAAACTGAAAAAGCCAAGAAGAGAGGGTGAAACTGACGTACTCGTTGTTCGTCATTCCTTGGGGTAGGACAAACCGTCATATTCGGGGCAGATCCCCCTCTCCTAGGTGCCACTGAAGATCAGTAAGTCATCCTTATACCCCTTGTCCGAGTCGGGGAGATAGGTTCGAGGTACATGGAGGGGTCTTGGACTTTTAGATAAAAATTCTACTGGGGCATCACCCTTAGCAAAGAGTAACAGAAAAGAATGTCCTCGAGGCCGATGTTGACCCCGAGGCGTCTGTTAAGCTCCACCACCCCCATTATTATCTTAAAGACGTTCAGATAGCACTGCCAGGGGAAAAGACAAAACTGAGACAGGAACTGAAGAAGCGGGAGGGTGGAGGGAGAATCTGACCTCATCCTCTATGATAGCCTTAGTGTAGAAAGACATGGCACCCTCGCACCGACGTTGTGACGATGACGAGCTGGGTCAAAATCGTCAACTCCGACGTTGTGAGGAATGTCACGATGGGCCTTGAAGTTGGTTATTTGCTAGATGCCCTTGACCGTGTACTTTTTTTGCCTAGAGGTCCCAGCCTCTTGAACCTCGGTGGTAGAATGACGTCTCGACATTTTTTACAGAAGTAAGCCCAGGGTTCAAAGGGTTCTCTCTAGAGAGTGGGGATCCTAAGGGATACTACAAGATGTGAAGCTACGAGAGGAGGGAAGTCTAAGGGACTGTCTTGAGGTCTTTGGTTTCTTAGAACTAAGACAATGGAGGTGAAGAACCGCCAGAAAAAGAGATATGAAAGGAAGACGAATACTTACCAAAATAACACTGGGCAAGGAACTAAAAGCTTGAGAGGGCTTTTTTCTCCTTCGATGATGGCTGAGGAAAGGGCTGTAAGGGCTTTTCCTCCTTTGATGGTGGTGAAAAAAGGGGTCGTGGTTCTTCAGGCAACAAGACTCCGACGGTTCTTCGGCGACAAAATCTCTAAAGAAAGCTCGAGGGTTCAAAAAAGTGAAGAATGGGGTGGGGAGGCTTTGTTTATATAGGCCCCTTGGCCCCACCATTGTGCACGACACATGAAGACAGACACATTCAATGCGCACGATCTCCAAAAGGCAAAAAACAGCTAGGGCAATGATGAGGCAGTTGAGCCATTTCACCTTCCGACGACACATATCCCTTCCGTATGAAGATCAAAGAGTTGGGGACAGTTGATGGGACACTCCTGAGAAGGGAGTAGATTGCCAACACGTGTACTCGACACCGAGAGTACTCCCTTCCATTCTGATTAGAACATGTGTCCTCAGCATAGGGGGCCCGTCTTCTACTCTTGTGAAAACACAGAGGCTCCAATGCCACTTGTCCTCGGCTCTGAGGTACCTCCCCTCGAGCAACCGCATGTCCTCGGCTCCAGGAGTACTTGCTGGAATTCTGGTCCAATCACGTGTCTCCTACTTCTGGAAAGGCTATCGATTGGCAACTACTTACTGATAGTTCGTCAGTCTTAACTGGACTAGGGATGGTGATGGTGCTCTGCAAAATAAAACCAAGATGGCAGAGCCAATGAGCCACTCAAACAAGGGGAGTTAGGCACGTGGCGTAAAGTGTAGAGTTAGGGGTAAAAAGACAAAAATTCCCCTACTGATTTATGGCTATCACAGGCAAATATTTAATGAATCCTCATATGATGGGACATCCACAGTGGCTTTGGGAGCCGAGGAGGAGGAGCATTAAATGATCCAGGGCCTAAGCATTTAATGACTCTACATTGAAGAAAGTGTAATAAATGCTCAACATCCCGAACAATTAATATTAGGGGATCCCCCGTGCAAAATAGGGGGCACATTACCCCATTCTGGACGCTATCTACTATCTAGACAATCAGTAATGATGAGTCTTTGAAGGTATAAATAGTCTACAAAAATACATTACAAAGGTACGCAAATTCACCCCCTCAAGAGCAATATAGTGTTTTCTTCTTCCCATCTCTCAAAGAACTAACTTGACCGTTAGAGGGGGTACGTCGAAAAACACTCTGACGCCTTCTAACTTATTTTTCTGTGTGTCAGGAGCATCCTATGACCCACCAGGACCAGTTGGACAACCCCTGGGGCAATTCATCACCATAATTTAGGCCCCCTTTGGCCCTCTCAACTCACCCCTTGTTGCGGGATCCATCACCTGCTTGACGAACGAATTCATCAGGGGAGAGAATCTATTGCTATCAATAATATCATGTGGTAAAAATGAAAATACTAAAAATTGAATAAACTGTACCTCACTTTTTTATATAAAGATGGTTTAGTTAATATTATATGGATGAGCGGTTATTAAATTTTGTGGAGTTTACTTGCTCACGTATTAGTGGACGGTGGTTACACTACATAACACTGCATGATTGAATAAATAATAATCTTATAAAAAAAGAATAAATAATACTCAAGCATCCTAAGTTTAAAACTTTAGTAATTCTCTTGAGGTCAGACTATAAGAGATTTATTACTTATGAATTCCCTAGTCTCGATTAAATAGTTTGTTTTTGACTTGACGTGGGATAGATTAATCAAGGTAAATGTAAATTGATCTGAATACCTTGACGATAATACAAAAATAAAAAAAAATAAATGATACATAAAATAAGGTCATTATGAGGAGTGAGAACTGATGACACCACTTAACAAATTTCTTTGTCTCTTCTGCTCATTTTTCCGACCTACCCTTTTCTTTTTTTCGATACATCAAAAAAGAAAGGGGTTAGCATAATCCCCTAACAAAAGCAATGCTACATAGGTCAGCCCCTGAGGGTTTCCAACACTCAGAGAGGAGGAACAATGATCTCCGCAAAACTTTCATTCTATTGCTTGCCCATTTTAGCTAGGATGTTTGCACATTAGTTTTTTTTCACGCATTGTATGGGCAATGGGAATCTGATGTACACTCATCAGGTGTTTGCAATTGTTGATCAAGGCCTTCTGGGGATGATCTTCATTCCCACTTATAGTAAGGAGGTCGAAAACCTTCATGTAGTCAGTCTCGATCAACAACCTTGTATAGCTTTTGGAAGTTGGGTAATGCTTCATGAACTTAAAAAATAGATTTGATAATCATAACAATTGAATCCAAGCTTTCAAATGGCCTATAATTTTGCAGGCAGGCTTGAGGTCGAATTCAACTTCCCTATGAATCCAAGCTTCCAGTGGCCTTGAGCCAGGGTTGCCTTTAGAGCAGCCATCCGTGGTAATTTACATCCAACCTACACTGGGAAAGGCTTAGTTAACAAGTGACAAACCACCTGTCTTGTGTGGCCTAGTTTACAACTCTTCTCTATTACCATTTGAACTATTCTTTAAAATTATTATAAGATCATTTTAGACAATTAATTAATAGCATTACAATAAAAGGTACCATAACCATTAATTTTACCTCTATCGTGTCATTGTTGATCATAAAACAATAATATAAAATAACCAAATATAAAATTTATGAGTGTCTTATTTTAATTAGGAAAAAATAATAGAATTAATTCCAAAAAATATTTTTTTAATCTATCATAATCTATATAATAAAGTAACTTACAATTTAAATATCAAAAGATAAATAAAATGACTTTTACTATTCGCAGTTGAGATCGCTTTAAATTTTACTTTAAAATTAACACCCCAATTTTAATAGGAAAAATAGGTTCCTAAGGGTGTGTTTGGAGTGACTTTTTAAATGTACTTTTAAAAATTATTTCTCATAAATACTTTAAAAAAAAATAGTGTTTGAAACCGCCCTACCACCACCACCGCCGCTGCCGCCACCATTGCCGTCGCCGCCACCACCATCACTACCGCCACCGCCACCGTTGTTGCCGTCGTCGTCGCCGTCGCCACTACTACCACCACCACCAACATCGTCGTCGCCACCACCGCTGCCACCGCCACCGTTACTGCCACCGCCACCGCCACCGCCACCATCATCGCTGCCACCACGATCATTGTCACCCACCACAACTATCACCGTCTCTTACCACTACCACTGCAGCCCACCACCTCTCACCCCCATAACAAATCGATGTTTAAATTTTTTTATCTCTTCTCTTTCTTTGTGATTTAATTTTGGATATGAATACAAATATGTTTATTGTTTAATATTTTTATTACTCTCTGCCTTTAAACACAGGCAATAACTAATTCACCTACACTTCATCAATTGCTCCTTCTATTTCCTCTGACTTTTTTCATTCCCTAATAAAACTCAACTCCAACTTTTTTGTGGGTGCCTAAAAATGGACATACAGATATATCATTATGCATATTTATTAAAGAATAATATTTCTTAGTACCACACAATTATTTTTGAAAAATTCCACAACACGTAAATCTGAATTGTAGTTAAGATTTCACACCATGTTTTAAATCGTAAAAAATAAATTTAACCCCACCAAATGTAGAGACCTACTTCATCAATTGCTTAGTCTCTTCCTCTCACTTTCTTCACCCCTGGCAAAACCCAACCTCTTATCGAACCTTCTGGAATTACGCAGAATCTCCCAAATGACACGTCGACAGGCACTGCTACACACTTGGTGACCACGAAAGGCCATTTCCGTCATTTGACACCCAAGTTGTGGATGTATATTAAAGCACAGCAACCCAACTGCTGCCAAAGTATCCAGTTTACTTCAGTAGTGAGAGAAGACAACTGAAGAAAATCTTATTGTTTTTGCTGATTCAATGGAGAGAGGTAGAGACAACTGTGGAAGTGGTGGCTCTAACCGAGGTCGCGGCGGTGGTGGTGGCGGAGGAGGAAATCGTGGTGATAGAGGTGGGAATTACCAACGTCACCAGCACCATCAGCAGGGTCTATATCAAGGTGGTGGTGGTGGACGAAGAGAAGGGGGTGATGGCGGAAGAGGAGGGGGTGATGGCGGAAGAGGAGGGGGTGGGGTTCCTACCCAGATCGGTGGTCAGCAGCCAGGTAATTGCCTCGTTCAAAAAGGTCAGAGTGGTGGCGCGTACAGGCCACCACATCTACGGAGTGGTCAGGGTCTGGGGCCTACAAGGGTACTGGAAACAAGTGAAGGGTCTGGGAGAGGTGGGTCTGTTGTGGGACCAGCAGGTGGTGGAAGTGGATTGTGGACTGGGAGGTCATGGGGACCCACTTCTGGGCCTCCTCAGTCTCAACCTCAGTCTCCGAGGGTTCCTGATCAAACGATTCCTAGTATTCCTCTTTAACTTTTTTCTTTACATCTTAATGTGAATATGTTTGTGTTCATAGGTTGTGGGGGCTCACAATTCTAAATACAATTTGCGAATTTAACACGAAATTGACTTGGAATTAATGGGTGTATATTTGTTGTAAACTTGTGAATCTATTATACACACAGACACGGAGCCGATAATACACAATTATAGATGGTTGGGTATGAGTCTGGACTCATAAGAACTCGACACGACACGACCTATTGACAGTTCTATTCCTGTTTGTGGATAGTCCAGATGTTTTATATTGAAGAATTTTAGAGCAATTGGGCTGGAACTGTACATGTTGGTTATCATGTTGTTCTGGTTTGATAATCTTGTAAGATTGTATAAATCTATTGATAGGAAACAAAGACTTTGAGATTGAGAAATTTATTGATCTATTCTATAATGATGGTTTCATTGTTTTTCAAGTGCATTGATCATGATTTCATTGAATTTGGTGTCTTACCTTGTTTGTATTGTTGGGGAAGTACTTGTTTTGTTTGAATTAAATTCGTTGGTCTATTAAGAAACCAAAAGAAAAAGCATTAGTGTCACCTGTAATTTGATTTTCGTAGGTAGTTTCTATGTATGGTCATAGAGTTGATTATGGGTTTAAAAAGTTCAGGGATTTTTCTCTCAGATGTCCCTTTGTTCCATATGCTGTTTTCGTTTTGTAGAAGTCATTTATTGATGAAATTCAAAGATTTTGGCTAAACATTTCATTATTTCATTTTTCTACACAGATCCTGTTATTCCAGATGTGCAGTCATTGCAAATTTCAGAAGAGAAGCCTCAATCAACTCCTTTAGAAAGTAAGGAGAACAGACTTATGCCCATAAAACGGCCTGACAAAGGAGGCAAGCTTACGATCAGGCCGATAACGCTTCTCATCAACCATTTTTGCGTCACAATCAATCCAGAGAGCACGGTGTTACACTACGATGTGGATATTAAACCCGATATGTCTGCAAAGAAATCCATTCCAAAATCTGATCGTCGTTTGATCAAGGACAAGCTATCCTCTGATGATCCAACACGATTTCCTCAGGAAATGACTGCTTATGATGGTGAGAAGAATGTTTTCAGTGCAGTGCTATTGCCCACTGGGCAATTCAAGGTGGAATTGTCTCGTGGGGATGAGATGCAGAGTGGTCCCTATTTATTTACAAATAAGTTTGTAAATGAGCTGAAGCTTTCCAAGCTAGAGGATTACTTAAGTGGGACGCTTGAGTGTATCCCTCGCAATGTATTACAAGGGATGGATTTGGCATTGAAGGAGAATCCGGGGAGGCATAGGATCTCCATTGGTCGAAGCTTTTATTCCAAAGAATTCAGGGCAGCAGATGACTTCCATTGTGGTGTTGCTGCTTTTAGAGGCTTTGAACAAAGCCTAATGCTCACTTCCCAGGGTCTAGTCTTATGTTTGGATTATTCAGTTTTGGCATTGCGCAAGCAGTTGTCAGTCATAGACTTCCTTAAAGAACATGTTCAGGGTTTCAGCCAAGTTAGTGATGTCAGATTATTGAAAAGAGAAGTGACTAGTGCATTAAAAGGATTGAAAGTTGATGTAACTCACCGTGTCACCACACAGAAGTACCCTATAGCAGGGTTAAGCAGTCAAAATACTCAAGATATTAAATTCATTTTCAAAGTTCCAAAGGGAAATCATCCACCAAGGGAAATTGGCCTGGTTGAATATTTCAGGGAGACATATAGGAAGGAAATTGTGTACAAGGATATTCCCTGTTTAGATTTTGGGAGAAACAATTATGTGCCTATGGAATTTTGTGTTTTGGCGGAGGGGCAGATTTACCCTAAAGACGACTTGGATAGAGGAAGAAGCCTGTTACTGAAGAAGATATCAATGCCTCCGCCAGAGGAAAGAAAGAACACTATCTGCGAGATCGTGCGGGCTGAAGATGGACCTTGCGGGTACCTATTTTTACTTGAGCCTCTACATTTTTTTTAGCCTAATTTATTGTATGTTATATTTTTTGACTATTTATTTAAATGAATTTATTACATGACTGTTGCAGGATAATATGTTGTAGTATTTTCAGTGTTGATCCTCTTCATTTTTTAGCATAGTGCCACTTAATTTAATTTAAACCTCCATGTTTTTGTAGGTAATATATTGTGGTATTTTCATGTTGTTTCTTTTAATTTATCTTTAATTCTCATGGATTGCATGACAAATTTCCTTGGTTGCTTTTGTTTGTTGAAGTCAATGGAGAGCAAACTTAGCCTAACATTTTTGTGGTGCATTTGATTTATAATTATAACACTACAAGTCATTTTGAAAAATTTCACCTTCCCTCATTTCTGAAGTGTTGCCCCCCCCCCCCCCCCCCCAAAAAAAAAAAAAAAAAAAACACACTCACACACCAAAAAAATCTGAAACCTCCTCCTCCCATCCATAAATGGCCTAAAGCTCCCTTCCAAGGATCAAATACTACTTTGGGAATGGAATTTCTGGGTGGTTCATTTCACTGGTGGTTCTGTATTTGATGGCATATCATCAAGAAAAGTTTGGAGAAATTGGTGTTGTCTTGAATCTTGATTATTTATCTAATGAAATCTCCACAATTTTAGGCGGTGAGAAGAGATTCATTTTGTTTTTAGAACTCTTCACTGGAATATCTTTATTTAGGACCTGGTTGGAGATAATATGCTGTTGGCAAGTTAATTGGCAGACTAGTTGCAATCTTACTGGAGGTTCATTACGACCACTTATGAAACCTAAGTTTAGTATGCATCACCTCCATTCATCAGGGATTACTCTGCATTTTGTTTTTAATTTGATGAAATTTGCTTATTTTGTGTGAATGGTGAGGTTGCTACGATGGTCTTCATAATTTATAGTCTCTTTAATTTATGTCTTTGTTCTGGTTACGCATTTTCCTTCTAATGATATAGCAATGCCAATCCATTTCTTTTCCCGGTTTTTCAGAGATGTCACTAAAAATTTTGGAATTGAAGTTCAGAAGACCATAACAAGAGAATCTGGTCGGGTCATTAAGCCACCTAACTTGAAGGTTGGCAAAGGGGAAATCGTAACAGTTGACAAGAAATGCCAGTGGAAACTTTCTGGTAAATCTGTGGTGGAAGGCAAGCCAATCGAGCGATGGGCCTTGATAGATTTCAGTTCAGATAAACTGAACTCTGATGCTTTCATTCAGAATCTGAAATATAAATGCAAAAATCTGGGCATCCGTGTGGAGGAGCCTGTTGTGTGCCATTTCACTGGCATGCATGAATTCTCTAGTGTTGTTGCGATTCAAAAACTTCTTGAAAGCGTGGTTAGTCAGGCCAAAGGGAAGTGTGAGGGCCGGTTACAAATTATTGTTTGTCTGATGACTGAAAAGAATCCTGGCAGAAAGTATTAAATGGGTCTCCGAGACTCAGATTGGTGTACTGACTCAATGTTTCTGTACTGACCAGTATCTTGCAAACCTTGCTCTTAAGATTAATGCCAAGCTCGGTGGTAGCAATGTAGAGCTGATTGAACGGCTCCCCGGTACTGAAGGTGAGGAACATGTTATGTTTATTGGGGCTGATGTCAATCATCCTGCTGCACGGAATGAAACATGTCCATCAATAGCAGCAGTTGTTGCAACAATGAACTGGCCTGCTGCCAATCGCTATGCTGCAAGGATGTGTCCCCAGGAACACCGCAAGGAGAAGATTCTGAATTTTGGGAACATGTGTTTGGATCTAGTCAATACTTACGCTCGACTTAACAAAACCAGGCCAAAGAAAGTGTGATTTGTCGGGATGGGGTAAGTG